GTATTGAGATGGGGTTGGTGAGTGCCTTTCAGCAAAAGGGACAAGACCTAAGGGACAAGGGACCCCTTTATCGCTGGGGTACAGCTATGCACCAGGTGCAGTCTGGGGGCCCCAGGGAGGCCCCTGGGAGTGGGAGTTTCAGCTGAGAGCAGAAGGAGAAGCAGCCGTCAGTTGACCAAGTGGGAGAGGGGATGGCCAGGCTGGCCAGGACCAGCTGTGGGGAGCAGCTGGATTCCTCACTGGCACAGAATGCACAGCCTGGAGTGGAGGGGGAAAGTGGGCAGGGTCACTGCCTGAGAACTGTGGGTTTTGTCCCAAGGGGGGCAATAAGGGGGGCAATAAGTCAGGCCTGTGGCCCACTCTTACTCAATCACCCAAGAATGAGCAGGAGAAAGGGAGGGAGGGGAAGGAGGGACAGCCTTTGTCACAAACCTGCAAGCTTCTCACACGTTTGTACTTTTACAAAATGAGAAAATAACATAAAAGCAAAGGGAGGAAGCCTTGAACTTTAAAAGCCGGGCCAGAAATTCCACAATACAACCCTGAATCACAATGGTGTCACAGTGAGAGCCATCCCGCAACCCCCAGACCTTGACTTCCTTGCCTGGCCGCCGCTCCGGACAGGGAGTGGGAGCGCCGGTGTTTGCTTTATCGTGCTGTGCTTTGAGGGCTAAGATCAATGTCTTTCCTCCCGGGGCATTGCATCAAGCTCGGTGTGCTTACCAGGAAAATCTGCATCTCAAGGCTAACGCCAGTTTTTAAAAAATAACTGACAACAGAGAACGTCTAGCAGAGACAAAGACATTTGTGCATTCGGAGGAAAGACCTACATCAACATGAAAATTGAAGAGAAAGGAGCCCCACCTGGTCCTGGAGTTCTTGTTGGGGCATGGCACGACCATGTGATGCGTGGAACGGAGCTCAGGACCCTGTGATCCTTTCTCCCTCCCGCAAGGCTCCTCTGGACACGGGGCTTTTCTCTGTCCCCAAGTCCCTGTTGAAATGCCCCACGGAGAACTGACCCCCCCGCTGCTCTCCACACGCTCCCACTCCAGGGCCCCTCCCTCCTCTCACTCCCTCCCCGCCTGAGAATGCGGCTCTCATTATAAGCTGCAGGAGGTATGAGCAGGTGCCTTTTTTGCATGGAGCTTGTAAATACAACTGCAGCTGGTTATAGAATACAATTTCTCAGTAAAGTGTGAAGTTCAGGACTCCGTGTTTTTGCTGTAAGGCTGCATTCTTTCTTTCATCTAACTGCGCACATCAGAGAGGGCAAAAGCAAAAGGCCGCATGGGTCCCAGAAGACACGATAGTCCAGAGATCACAAGAGTCTCCACCCCCAAAGTGAGCCTCAGTTTCCCCACGAGGGTAATTGTATAGAACTTTTGTAGAACTTGTTATAACAACTGTATAGGATTGCTGTGGTCTCATCCCTGGCCACGCAACCCAGTGGCTCGGGGAGCTTCGCAACAACCCTCCCTCGGACCCAGGGTGACACCAGCGTTGAGGGTCAGGGCCGGGCCCCTGTGGTCCGGACGCATGAGGGGGGGTCCAGGACTGCTGCATACACGTGAAAACACGCAGCCCTCGCCTGTCTGGGAGCGCGGCCAGAGCTGTGTGGACTCTGACCGGCCGGGGCACACCCTGCTGTTGGGCGGGCGAACTCCTGATCATCGATTTTAAGTACTCGGGGACGGCAGCTTACAAGTTGAACACAAATGTGTCTGTTTTGATCAGGCTCCTTTCTCAACACTTACTTTGGCTCCTTCAAGCCAATCGTCTTTCACCCAGCATGCTCGCCAAACTCAATCCTTTTAGAGCCAAACATATTTTATCTCAAACCATTTTTGTTGGGAATGGGTTACCTGTGGCTGCCTCAGTAACCGGAGTCAACGTCTCTCAGTGGCGCTGGCTGCCAGGGTGGGGCAGCCTATTTCCTGATGTGCTTTGTAGATAGCTAAGGAACGAGGCAAAGGAGGGCCTGTCTGCCTGGCCTCCGCTAAGCGACCCCTGTGACATCCTGGATCCGGCAGCCCCCGCACCCCTGTCAGGGCCTCCTGGGGCCCCCATCTCCTGCCTGCTTCGCTTCCTCCTGGAAGTGCTCGAGCCAACATCCCAGGTGGCCTCGTTTCCTTCCCACAGAAGCTCAGAAACTGAGCTCTCGAGTGGGTAAGTGAAGTAGTCGTTTAAATCGACGTGTAATGTACATCTTGTACAGTGTGTAAAGTGTGCATGAATACTGAGTGTTCACCTCAGTGGTGCTTCACATACAGACAAACCCACGTAACCAACGCCCAGGTTAAGACAGAGAGCTGCACAGTCCAGCAAGGTGGCCCCCGGCTGGCCACGTGTGGCATTTCAATTTTAACTACTTAAAATTACGTACAATTAAAACTCAGCCCCGAATCACAATGACCACATTTAAAGTGCCAATGGTGACATGTGCCCAAGGGCTGCCGTATGAAAGACAGTGCAGCTTTGGAAGATTCCACCGCCACAGAAAGTGCTATAGGATAGCACAGCTCCGGAACACTCCCAGTACCCACCCCCGCCCTGGCCCCCGCTCCACTGCTCCTTCCCCGGTCGACCCCCTCCCCCCAGCAAAGACCGATCTCCTCATGGCTGCTGCATACAGCTTGGCTGAAGTTGCTACAGACAGGTTTTGCCTGTACAGTCCACTGAATAATAAAATAGCCCAAGATGTTCACATCCCGATCCCCAGGACCTGTGACTATGTGGCCTTACATGGCAAAGGGACTTTGCAGGTGTGGGTAAATTAAGGATCTCAAGGCGAAAGATTATCCTGGATATCTGGTGGCCCAATGTTCTCACAGGGCCTTTGCAAGAGGAAGGCAGGAGGTCACCAAGTTGTGGTCATTTGTTACAACAGTCAGAGGAAACTCTCCTTACGGGCTACAGCCCACTTCACTAGAGCCTCGAGAATGGCTACATTTTCTCAAAAGACAAGAAATATTTTTGGGTTGAAACTGAACTTAAAAATATTTGCTTCCCCCTCGGATACCATATGTCCCTGACGATTGAAGCTGTCCACCTGTCTGGAGCCCTATGCCCAGTGGCACATGCATGCCCCAACCCACCGCGAATGCACCCCAACTTTTTTGTTTTGTGATGAAACAAAACTGACTCTGGGGCCTTTGCAAGCAAACGTTCAGGCTTGTTGTGCTGCTCTGGACAGAGCACGGTAACATGATGGGTGCTCGCGAGCAGCTCTGCTTTCCCAGGAAAGAACCTGCGTGAGGACCCTCAGGCCTGCTTCCTCTGTGGTGGGGGCCAGAGCACTGAGTACTCAAGGCCAGACTGCGCCCTGTGGGCCCCACAGGACGTCCTGCAATTGGGGGAAAAATATGAATCTCTGCCGAAATAAACCACATTCATAATATAGGTTCTCTTTGATTTTAGATGTTATGTGGGGACTCTCATGAGACTCTTATTCTTTAATCTCCCGAAATGAGATGGAGTGTAGCGATGCCCCTTGGTAGGCAGAATAGCATTTGCTCATTTTTCTGTGCTGTTTTTTCTGGTTTATCTGCTAGTAAGATAATGTTGGAAGATGACAGGATTAGGTATTTGTAGAGCCGTATCTCTATCAAAGGGGAACATTTTAAATGCTCCAAAAATAAAAATCTATTATCAACTAGGATGTTATTCAGCCTCCAAAAGAGAAAAGAAGGACATTCTACACTATACAACATGGATGAACCTTGCTGAGTGAAACAAGGCAGTCAAAAGAGGACAAACATGGCATTATTCCATTCATACAGATTTCTAGAGCATTCCAGGTCATAGAGACAGGAGGTAGAATGGTGGGTGCCAAGGGCTAGGGGGAGGGGAGGGTGGAGAATTTTTGTTCAATGGTACAGAGTTTCAGTTTTACATGAAGAGAGCTGTGGTGATGGATGGTGGTGATAATTACCCAACATTGTGAATATATTTAATATCACTAAACTATACACTTGAAATGGTTAAGATGATAATGTCTGTGTTATGTGTACTTCACCACAATTAAAAGGAAACAGCAAGGAGAAACCACGAGCACAATAACATGGCAGCTCGTTCTGAGCCCTCGCTTTGGAGAGCTCTCCGGCTCTGAAGTCGGAGGCGGGGGCCACAAGCTGAGGGCTGCAGGCACCTCTGGGAGCTGGAGAAGGTGAGGAAGTGGATTTCCCCCTAGGGCTTCTAGAAGGAACCGGCCCTGCTGACACCTTAAATTTGGGCTTCTGTCCCCCAGAGCAGTGAGACGACACATTCCCTTGTTTTAAGGCCACAATTGGTGGACTGCTATGGGCTAAACTGTCCCCCCAGCACCTCCCCCTCCCTGTCCCAATGCATATGTAGAAGCCTTCACTTCCATCATGTCTGTATTTGGAAATAGGACTTTTAGAAGGTAATTAAGGTTGAATGAGGTCATAAGGGGTCATGATTTTTTTTTTTTTTTTGGTGGGATTGGTGGCTTTGTAAGAAGAGGGAGAGAGAGTTTACTCTCTGCACACACGAGCTGAGGAAAGCCGTGTGAGGACACAGGAGAGGGGGCGCCTGTAAGCCAAGGTTGGGGATCACACCGGAATCTGGCCGTGCTGGCACCTTGATCTCAGACTCCAGTCTCAGAACTGGAAAAGCATTTCTGTTGTTTAACCCCTCAGTTTGGGGTCCTTCGTTATAGCAGCCCCAGGACAGGCACACCCAGACATTTGGAACTGGGTGAAAGGACATTAGCCCAGACTCTGTTGCCTGGGAGCTACCAGGTGGCCTTAGAGGTGGAGAAACAGAAGGCGCGCACCTGGCACCTGGGGAGAGGACAGCACAGACCTGACAGAGGGCCGGGCGGCTGACCAGAGCCCCCGAAGCCGCCACGCACCACTGTGAGTCCCCTGAGACAGTGTGTGCCCCTGAGGACCACTCCCCATCACGCTCAAGTTTCTCTGAAGGATTCTTTTCATCAGAACTGGAATGTACATTGAATAAAACAATGATTTCTGCCTTCTTTTTTAATTTCAGAGATTGTATATGATCCGACTGTGAGACTTGAAAAACATTACATCTTTTCAAAGTCAGTTCTGCCCATTGACTCGGTCGTTACAGATTCAGGATCTGGTGCGCTCTTCCGTGGCCTGGAAGGATGAACGGACCTTCCGGTTCATCAGGGGTTGAAGTGGGCGGTAATTGTTCACCATCACCCTCTCTTCTTCACCCAGTGCAGAAAACAGGAGCGTGCGGAATTCGGCCAGCTGGAATGGAGAGGTACCAGAGTAATCTGGGTGCAGGGACAGAGCAAGCCCGCTCCTGGGCATCCCTCGTGCCTGTGTCGTCCCCTCCCACACTGAGTCGTGATGGCCCTGTGTGGCCAACACAACATGGCAGAGGGGACTCCTGAGCAATGTCAGGAAAGGCTGTGCAGCTTCTACCACGGTCTCCTGGGTCACTCGCTCTGGAGAAGCCGGCCACCATGTTGTGAGGACATGCCAACAGCCCCACGGGGAGGCCCCAGGGGAGGGACTGAGCTGACAGCCAGCACCAACTTGCAGGTCACTTGCGTGAGCCACTTTGGGAATAAATCCTCCCACCCCGGGTAAGCTTTCAGAAAACTATAGCCCTAGCCAACTGACTGCAACTCCACGAGAGATTCTAGGCCAGAATCACCCCAAATTCTGAGCCACAGCAACTCTGAGAGATAACAATTATCGTTTTCTTAAGCTACAAGTTTTGGAGCTATTTGTTACACAGGGATGGAGAACTAATACATACAATCTAAATGCTAAAGTAATATTTGATTCACTTTTCACTCAAGGAACAAAAGATTATTTTTTATATATCATCTCATTTGTGCTCAGAAAGTACTTATGAGCTCTGTGAGAACAACTCACATGTTGAATTAATGCAGAAGTGACATTTTTACCTTCACAGTGACCACTTATGGAGCGAGTTAGATCTGCGTGGTTGATGAAGCGCCCTCTAGAGTTGTGTGGGGCATGGTGCACACGGTCTCCCAGGCACTCGAGCTCAGTGCTCTGGTTTGCTCATGTTTTTGGCTGTCTCAGAAATACAGCCTTTCTCTTCTCCTCCACTTGGCAGTCTCCTTCCTACTGTCCAGGGGGTGCACACCCCCCCCCCAGCTCCCCTGGTCAGGGTAAGGGGCTTCTGCCCCTTATATTTGCATATTGCCTTACCACCCTGCCTTAAAACTATCCACTTCCCACCAGTCAGCAGTTGGCAGAGACTGGCATCATTGTTTCTGTATCATCCTCTTCCTTCCTACCTTCTCCCACCCTCTCCTGCTACACACCTGACACAGAATGAGTGCTTATTACTCGTTTGTTGAGTGACAGAGGGGTCTTGGTGCCTAGGGCTGCTCTCCCATCAAGGCCTTCCTGACGTCTGCAACAGTTCTGGTTTGCGGGTAGGGCAGGTAAGCTGCAACCCACCTCTCGATGGTTGGCCTCTCGAAGCAAAGGGCATCGTTCCATGACTTTTAAATAAAAGACTATTTTCACAGACTCATGAGGCTGGGAGAACCTCTAAGAGAACATCCGGAGCCCTCAGAAAGAGTGTAGCTGAACCAGAGGTGATAGAGACTGCTGTGATTGGTCAGAAATGGCTGCCCTGGGCAAGGCGGTGAGCCAGTGACACCACGCTTGCTGCGCGGCCGTCCTCCCTAAGTGCAAACTGCCCTGGACAGACGGACTTCCTCCCGATTCTTGAGATTTCCACACACAAAGATACTGCAGCTTTTAAAAAATGTGTACATAGAATCTACTTTAGAAAAAATAGAATATGGAGACAAGAAAGAGAGAATAAAAACCATTGCAGCTCCATGAGCCTGGGACAGTGAGCAGCAACTTTCTGGTGTGTGTCTACATGGTGAACTGCGGGGTCGTCCAGTGAACACCCACTCACCTCCTCTCTGCCCCACTGACTGCGGCCTCGCCGTGGTGGCTTGCCTGGGCCGACAGGGTGTGAATGGGTGTGATGCGAGCATACGCCTTAAGTGTGCACGTGCGGTGTGGTTTGCCTTTTGCATTTTCACCCTTGACCATGAGAAGCAGCCCTTGGTAGTCACTGGTCCCGGGGGAAGGAAAGACTCTGGGCCCGACCCAACCACCAACCACAGTCAGTGAGGCCCAGCCACCCACAGCCTCGCAGAGAGCCCCCGAGCCAACCCACAGACCCACAAGCAGAAAAGACAAATGCTTGTTACATGCTGTTGCATTTGGGGTAGTTTGTTATGTAGCATTACTGCAGCAATAGCTGACTGATAGGGTCCTTCTGGAGTTTTCTCTTGGCATATATAGCTCTGTAACTTCTTCATACAGCCTTTGAGAAAATCCTCTGCAATCCCAGTTTCTTACTGGTCTGTCATCCACAGAAGCGGAACAAACTAAAATGCTCTCTTCTCCCTCCATGGTCCTGCTTCTTCAGCGGCTGTCCGACACCGTCTGTGGCCTGCCTTTCTTGGTTAATTTATTCACCAGCAAATACCTATTGTGGGCCCATTGTGAGCAAACACCTGTGTCACCATTATAATGTCACTGCTGTTCTTTCAAAGTAGCTTTACCCTGACATAGACTGAAGAGGAAGCATTGGCCAAGTTCAACCATTAGTCATTGGGGGTGCTTGCCACGTCTGAACTCTAAGCCACTAAAGATTAGATCGGCTAAAATGTAACCGTTTCCCCCATATCAGTTCCCTCTTCCTCCCCTGCCCCCTACACCCCATCTCTCTCTGTCTCTCTCAAACACTAATGTCTCATCGTCAGAAGAATTGTGACTTCTGAACCTCTGTCCGATCTCAACAAGCTTGTATTTCAACTGGAAAATTCTTCTCATGCCGAAGCAACCAAAATGCCCCAAAACATAAAACCCATGATGCTCGCTTACAACATCTTAGTGACACTGCCCAGCAGTTTCTTGAACACGGCCCCACTGCACTGGCCACAGGCACAGCTCACCTGGCTCACAGCCACTTCAATGGGCTTTTTCAGGATGATCCAGGTGACCGACTCGGTTAGTGGGGGGGTGGTGAGGGAGCCCGGGTAGGTCCAGTAATCCCGGCAGGTGGGCAGCAGACAGGAGGGCTCGAAGGGGCCCACAGCCGCCCTTGTGTCCTGAGAGACAGACCACAGGCTGCGTCAGTGCCTGGGCAGAGATGCGGGGGCTCAGGAAGGAAGGGAACGGGGCTCCTTCTTTATCTCAGAGATGTGGCCACCATGTTGCTACGGGGGAAGTGTGTGCCCCGAGATAAAGACTGTGAGGCCATGGCTGTCACACTTGGAAGCAGCGACAAGAACATATGACTCTTAGGGAAGGGGGAGGGAATTTCAGGGGAAAGGGGGAAAGGTTTATAGGAACAAGTATGAAGGACACAGACAAAAACTAGGGGCGGATGGAAATGGGAGGGAGGTGGGGAGGGCTGGGTGGTAGGCTGGGATGGGAGTAAAAGATAGAAAATTGTACTTGAACAACAATTTAAATAAAAAAAAGCACATATGACTCTTGCAGCAGAACACGAATCCCCACTGAATACTTATGTTTTTTCTTTTAAAGTTATTTGTTTTCATATATCTAGGCTGTGGAAATATCACACTTTAAAAAATTGTGGTAAAATAACACACACAACATACAGTTTACTGCTGTAACCATTTTTAAGTCTGTGGCATCAAGCACATTTGCACCGCGGCACAACCGTCACCACTGTACAACTGCCACTGCTGTCCAGCCATCCCTGCTGTCCAGCCATCCCTGCTGTCCAGCCATCCCTGTTGTACAACTGTCCCCACCATCTACCTGCAGGACCTCCCATCCCTTCAGCCTAGAACTGCCGTCACTAAACACTCACACCCCAGGCCCTGGCACCCACCATCCTACTCTCCACTTTTTAAAAATTCCTCACCCAAGGATATGCTCATTGATTTTAGAGACAGAGGAAGGGGTGGGCGGGGAGAGGGAGGGAGAGAGACATCGATGTGAGAGAGAAACATCGATGGGTTACCTCCCACACGCACACTGACCGGGGACCAAACCTGCAGCCTAGACATGTGCCCCGACTGGAGATCAAATGCAGCTTGTTGGTTGCATTCAGGACGACGCACTGACCAGTTGCGCCATCCGGCCAGGCCCGCCACCCGGCCAGGCCCGCCACCCCACCGTCTGTGTCTGTGAATCCAGCTCCCGTGGGAGCCGTGTGTGAGTGGACTCGTGCGCACTTGTCCTTTTGTGGCTGGCTCAGCTCCCTCAGCGTCCTGTCCTCAAGGTCCACCCATGCTGTGTTGACGGAGAGAGCGTGGGCTGCGTTCCTCCCGTGGCCATGGTGAGTGACGCTGCCGTGCACATGAATAAGCCACTGTTTCTTTAAGACCCAGCTTTCAGTTAGTTTGCGTTTATACCCAGAAGTGGAAATGCTAGATCCTATGGGAATTCTATGTTTAGTGTTTGGAGGAACTGCCAGACTGTGTTCCACGGTGGCTGCCCTTTCCAGACAGCCGAACTTCTCCTAAAGCAGCTGGCCCTGCTGTAAGAGCCGTGGTAAGGAAATGCACTCAGAAGGACGCCCCACGTCAAGCTCATTCCCTGGCCCTTATGCCAGGATCTCCCGCACCCCAGGGAGTGGGCGGAAACACTGGCCTCAGACAGGTGTTCTTGGCCACTGAGCGCCAGGATTTCTGTGCTGCTCCCACGGGGGCTCCCACTGGCACATTCTGCTTGGGACCCCCATGTTCTGAACTTCAGAACTCACGTTTGCTCGCTTTCTGTGCTTTATAAAGGATGAGGAGAAACCCGCTGTTCTGAGCTCCGAGGGACGCCGACAGATGCCACCACTGACTCACTCAGTCACTCACAGCGAGTGTTTCGCAGCCACAGTGAGTCTGACTCTATCTTAGGTGCTGGGGTGCAAAACCACCTGCCCTCAGGGCACTCACCGTTTACAGGAGGATAGCAATCCAAGCCGAATAAGTATGCATCTAGCAGTTTACACAGTGATAAGCATGACGAAGGAAAATAAAGCAGAGTAGTATGTGTGAGGTGGGGAGGGGGTGGATTTAAGGGGGTGGACCTGAGGCCTCACTGGGGTAGTGTCATTCAAGCAAAGACATGAAGGAGGTGGCGGAAGAGGCTATGTAGGTTTTGGGGTGGACAGAGCAGAAGCCCTGAGAGGCTAGAGGAACAGCAAAGAGGCTGAAATGAATAAATGAGACCAAATCCAATAAAAAGAGATGTGGTGTGGGGACACCCCTGCTTCTGCTTAGGGCTGGGACCACTGAGGAAACCCACCAGCAAAGGCAGGGGGAGCAAGGGGCTACTATTCCGATGCTGCCCGGCACAGCTCCAGGGGCGTGTAGAGGAAGGACGGCCTCTGGGCCACTGTCTGCCCCCTTGTAAGCCAACGGCACCTGAGCAGGCTTTTCCACGAATGGGAAATGATCCCTCAGGGTCCCCCAGGTTGACAGGCCCAGGACGGTGGCTTCTGCCCCTCTGTAAATCTGGTGAGACTGAAGACTGACGCAGGGACAGGCCTGCAAGCAGCGCAGCACAGCACTGCCAGCCTCAGCCCCGGCCCCAGCCCAGGCCGGGCACTGCAGGGTGACATTCAAGCAGGAAGCAGACATCCTCTCCCCACAGAAAGGAGGCCTCGCTGTCTGTCAAATCCTCCCACCTGGCCTTCAAAGGCAAAATCAAAGGGCGCACACACCCTTGCTTATGCACCAACAGCTGGCTTTCATCGGTCAGACACAGGAGACGCTGGTGAAGCTGCTGACAAGAAGGAAGTAAGTTGGTTCACACTGCGTGTGCCAGGTGTCATTCCACTTAGTAATTTATTATCTCGGAATGTCTTCAAAACAGCAATGCTGCAATCTAATTCACATAGCACAGAATTCACTCCTTTAAAGCGTGCAATTGCCATGACTGGTGTGGCTCAGTGGTTTGAGTGTGGGTCTGTGAACTAAAGGGTTGTTGGTTCGATTCTCAGTCAGGCCACAGGCCTGGGTTGTGGGCCAGGTCCCCAGCAGGGAACGCTCAAGAGAAACCACACGTTGATGTTTCTCTCCCTCTCTTTCTTTTTCCCTTCCCCTCTCTCTAAAAGTAAATAAATAAAATCTTTTAAAAATAAAGTATACAATTTACAGCTTTTAGTATATTCAGAGGGAGATATGTGTAGCCCTCAATCACCACAGTCAACCCTAGAATGTTTTCATCACTTCAGAAAAGAACTCCAGCCTCTCTGCCCCACCCAGCTCTGCTGCAGGCCCTGCTACCCTGCTCGCTGTCCACGTGCGTCTGCCTGTTCCGGACATTGCCCCTGAGTGGGGCCATACAATGCGTGGGCTTTTGTGACTGGCTTCTCCCACTCAGCTCATATTGTCAAGGATCGTCCATGGTATAGTGTGTGTTAGTGTTTCATTCCTTTTTATGGCTGAAGGGTGTTCATTCCATTTTTGCTCTACTTAGTTCCTGAAGGAAACAGGTCACTTATGTACATGGGAAAAAATGCAAAAAGTACTAGTGGGCATGTGGTGACAAATGGATCCCCTCTCCTCCCCCTAGTGCCCAGCCCCAAAGGCTGCCAGACACCTTCTGAGACTATTGCCTTGAATTTTCAGAACCGCCCTTTAAGGGATATTGTTATGTTACTGACGAAGAAAGTGAGATAGATAAAAACAACTTTCTCAAATCCAGTTAGACAGTGGTAGAACCCAGGCACTGTGGGAGGTCTGTCTCAAAGTCGGAAGGAGAAGAGAAAGAATAAGACATAAGACATGGGACATCTATTTGAAGAAATGATGACAGAAAACTTTCCTAACTTGCTGAGGGAGGTAGACTTGCAAGTCCAGAAAGCGCAGAGGATCCAGAGAAGAGAAACCCAAAGAGGTCCACATGAAGACACATCATAATCGAAATGCCAAAGCTCAAATACAAAGAGAAAAGCGGTTACCTACAAGAGAGCTCTGATAAGACTGTCAGCTGATTTCTCAAAAGAAACTTGGTGGAACCCTGGCTGGCGTAGCTTAGTGGATTGAGCGCGGGCTGAGAACCAAAGTGTCGCAGGTTCGATTCCCAGTCAGGCCACATGCCTGGGTTGCAGGCCATGACCCCCAGCAACTGCACATTGATGTTTCTCTCTCTCTCTATCTCCCTCCCTTCTCTCTCTAAAAATAAATAAATAAAATCTTAAAAAAAAAGATTACCAGAGTTAAAAAAAAAAAAGAAAGAAAGAAACTTGGTGGGCCAACAGGGACAGGCAAGAAATATTCAAAGTGATGAAAGGCAAGGACCTACATCTAAGACTACCCTGTCCAGCAAAGCTATCACTTAGAGTGGAAGGACAGAAAAAGTGCTTCCCAGACAAGAAAAAGCTAAAGGAGTTCATCACTACCAAGCCATCATTATATGAAATGTTAAAAGATCTTTAAGAAGAAGATAAAAAAAATGAACAATAAAATGGCAATAAATACATATCTATCGACAATTGAATCCAAAAAACAAACCAAGCAACAGGAAGAACAGAGACAGAATCATAGATACAGAGACCATTTTGACGGTTGCCCGATGGGAGGGGGTTGGGGAGATGGGTGAAGAGGTGAGGGGATGAAGAAGCACAAACAGGTAGTTACAGAACAGCCGTGGGGACGTAAAGTACAGCATAGGGAACCGAGTAGCCAAAGAACACACACGCATGACCCATGGACTTGGGCAATGGTATGGGGATTGTCTGAGGGAGTGGGGGGCTGGGTGGAGGGGGACAAAGGGGGAAATTGGGACAACTGTAATAGCACAAACAATAAAATATAATAATAGTTTTTTAAAAGCCAGGACTGGGTCCTCCCTCCCCATGGGCCACAGGGTGGATGCAAAGGCAGCCGCTCACACGGAGCAGCAGCAGGGGCTCCCAGCACTCTGCTCACTGCCGGTTCCTTGCCAATTAAAATTTTGAGAGGACATCTATGTGTTTCTAGTAAGGTCCCCAGGAGCTGTGTGTCCTGTCCCTAAAGCACGTTAGCATTCAGAGCAGCCTGCGATGCAGAAAGCTGTTCCCCGGCGGGGCCCCCAAAGCCAGTCAGGGCCCCTTCTGCACGAGTCTGTCGGCCCCGCTGGCTGAGCGTTAGGTGGGAGCCCAGGGCACTATCTGGACCACCAGCCACCACAGACAGAGACAGTCCAGCTCCTGGCGGAGGCGCGCCCCTGCCAATCAGCCTTCGCCGTTCTCTTCTCTCAAATGCACACCCCCCTGCAGAAGGGGGGATGTGGCTTACAAAGAACGCTCCGTTCAGTACAACATGGGAGAATAAAAGTGGGAGAAGAAAAATCATCAGGTTTGGAACAAATCGGTTGTCACCAAGGCTTGGGGGCAGGGGGCCTGACTGTACCAGCACCACAGGACGGAGTGTGCGGGGTGGGGCGCCGTTCTGCGTGGTCCTGGGTGGGAGACCCGGGACCCTGAGCATTTGTCAAAACCGATAGAATGGACACCACCGAGGTGACTTGTAACACTGCAAAGCTTTAAAAATTGACACAGAACGCAGGATGGAGCACAGACTATAACAAAATGACTCTCTTGGATTATGCTTCCCAGCCCTTGGAGCGTGGGCTCCTGCTTGCCAAGGCTGGGCCTTTTACCCCTTAAGATTCTAACTCATTCTTCAGGTGAGGAAACTGAGGCCCCGAGATGATCATCAGGGCCAGAACGGAGCCCAGGCAGTGTCTTTTGTCACCATGCTGACACCTTCTCTCCCGTGCGGTTGGCCCAGGAGACCCTCAGTTAGCCCCTGTGTGTGTGGGGGGGGGGAGCGGTGCTGCAGAGCCTTCCATAGAAGGAAAACACCCTCCTGAGTAAACAAGGCCTCACAGCCAGCTCCTTTCTTTCCCACCAGGAGGTGGAGACCACGACTTGTAGGGGGTGGATGCTGGTGGGGAAAACATCCCAGGTTTATTCTGGCCGAGGACCAGTGAGGAAGAGGATGCACTGAACACCTTGACCTTGTGGAGTTCCTGAGCTGGCAGACATGGCAGTGGGGTGTGGGAAGGGTGATCTCGTCTCAGTCCCATGAGGTCAACATCAAGAGGAATGCACCGCACAGATCAAAGGACCCCTGAGAACCAACCGAGGAAGGGCTGACCCCCTGTTTTCCTGTGGAGCCGAGCTCACCATTGTTAAGACAGGTGGGAGCCCCAACCGTCCATGCGTTCAAGGACTGTGGTGACTCCTTCAGTCTCAGAAGGCTTTTGTTTGGTACCGAACAAATAAACTGCATTTCTTTGGAATTTCCACTTCTCCATCAAAGTCCTTTCTTAGGTGATGTTGAAGAAAAGCTACATTGTTGTCCTTGTCATCTTTTTGAACCACACTTAATGCAACAAGGTGTCCCAGGGGAGCTGGGCCAAGGTCCACTCTGCCACACAGAGGGGTGGCGAGAGGACTTCCCCTCCCCGCAGTCTCCATGCCCTTGGGGCCGGGGTGGTCCTAAGTCCCCCCACCAGGACTGTGCCAGGTGGCACTTGGGTAGGCGCTCTTAAATGTTAATAGTTAGGTATCTATTCCAATCAGTTTTAAAACAAACATTTTCACTAATGGATGTCATTGCCTGCCTGGGATCGGACCAGTGCAGGGGAACACGGCAAAAATCTTCAAGATGCTGCCTAAATGACCGAAGTTTTGGAAACTCAAATAGAGTCCAGCACCCCAGTTACACTGAGAGGAGAGGCCCCGGGAGGAGCAGGGGCACAATGACGTCAGAGAGGGAGCCCTGTTCCCAGGGTGGGGCTCAGGCCCTCTCTGCGGCATGCTCTCCACCACGCTGGTCACTTTCCTCTCGCAAGTGACTCAATACTCTAGACTGTTTTGCCTTCCCAATTATGCTGATTTGGATATACGTAGCTCACCTTATGTTTTATTTCCGGCAAGACTTCCACCAACGTCTGCAGTGCCTCGTGGTGGGCCCCCAGCTGCACAGCACAGACACACACATGTTCATTGGAAAAGGTTGGGAACAGGGCACCGGGCACAGCTCATTCTCTGCAGGCAGCGTTTAAAAAGCCATTCTTCGTTAACCGAGCATCACTCTCTCCATTAGGAGAGCGAGGCCCCAGCAAGAGATTACCTTTAAAAATACGCCTATCACAGCCAAGCCATTCTCTCCCATTACAGCTTCTTTGTAGTTCCGGTATTTCACGGAGTTCCAGTGAACTAGATGCAGCTGAAACACAGGAGAAAGAGAACTCACACCTGTCACAATGCGGCAGGAAGCAGAGCTGTCGCTGCCCCTCTGCGCGGCAGACGCACCTGCCCACGTGCTGACGTGAGGAGTGCGGTGGAGCTGCCGGTGCAGGGATGGTGCCAGCAGCCTGCTCGGAGCCCCCAGGGGGCTGACAACATTGTGCACAGCAAGCGCCTTGGCGATTTTGGTGGGAGAGCAAGAGGCTCATTTTAACTTTATAAAATAAAAATGGGTGCTTGGATTTCTTTCTATTTTTCATATGTTTCGGATATCCTTGAATGTGGTTTGTAGGATCAAATAGAGGACTCTCAGTTAAATTCAAATTTCAGATAAACAACAAATAATTTCTGGTGCCCTAGATACTGCAGTTTTTCTACATTGGTCACCCTCCCTGGAACTTCCTGTGTCCTTATTTCGCATCCCTCCTTCCGTTTTCCCAAGTCCAGATTCGGCATCAGGATCGACCAGATGACACGGATTTAAAACAGGAGCAGGGGGATGGCTTGGGAAACAGGCTCTCCTGGGTCACTGGCAAGCAGGGGGCGGAGCCAGGACCCCTGGGCCCAGCTCTGGGCTCCCTGTGATGAGAGCTTGGATGCCGATGCTGGGTTTGGCCCAGAACCTAGAAGGGCCTGGGTGTCCATACAGACTTCCTTCTACGGGAATGAGTTGTGGTGGAGGCCTTTCTGAATGGTGACCCAAACCCCAAGTCTGCAAGGACAGAGCCCTCCCCACACGGTTGCTGGATCCCGGGGCCCCAGGATCCTCTGCTGGGGTGCTGGGTCCGCCCATGCTCTAGGTGGCGCCTCGCTCCCAAGTCACGTGTTCCCAGCCACGTGCACTGGGGACTGAGAGGATGGTGAGGCCCGTCCATAGCTGATCTGGAACCCTCCACTGCTGCCTTGTTGCAACCTCCCAGAAATGGAGGCAGCGGGGCCCAGGGTGCTGCCTACAGCCTCCTTCCTTCACAGACACCACGTTGGGAGGTGGCTTCACCTTGCAAACCCCCTCCCCCCCCCAGGAAACGGCACCCCGAAACCTGCATCACAGGCAAGGCCAGGAGGGATCTGACTCAGAGCCCCTGGTGGGTCCCGTCCAGGATCTTGCCTCTATGCTAATAAATTACAACCACCTCCCTGTTCAAATAATTGTTCATTGTGAGGATACACAGTTATGAAGATAAAAGGTGTGCTGTCAGATGAAAGGAAGCATGTTCCTTCTGCCATGTTTGTAAATATGTGTATAATTATAACAATAGATGTAACTCCCTACTTATAAGCTATCCCCAGAGGTCACCTCTGAGTGTGTGACTACAGGTGATTTTTATTTTTTAGTTTGGCTGGACTCTAGTTTGATTTTAGCTATAGTATTACTCCATAATAAGGGCAACAAAAAGTTGAAAAAAAACCCCACAGTTCATAACTTGAAATGCATTTGAAATTCGGGTGGTTGGTGGGTGGAGGAAGGGACAGGTGGGTGGGCAGAGGTGTGATACAGTGAACACAGCAAAACGTTAATCATAGGATCTGGGGGGGGCAGCCTTGTGGGCTCTCACTCCCTGTACAGTTCTTTCCATTTTTTTTGAAGAATTTCAGAATACAATATTGGGGGAAATCTATAAGGCACTGGTTATCACCCCACCATGACTACAAACACCAATTCCTAACATTTATCTGCTGGTTTTTCCCCTGACTCCCATTTTTGGACGTTGCAAATATCACTTTGTTCTAGGATGATCTCTATTGCAAAGATTTTTCAGATTCTCAGCAGGAGGCCTCAAATGCCTTGAAGGACAGGAAGGGCTGTCCGCAATTGACTACCAGCGAGCCCAGGGCTGAGTGAGAAGCTGCCAGGGGCACAGCCTGTTCTTGAACCCCAGCTGTCTTGTTCTGGTAAGTTACCTAACCACTTAGAACTTCAGTCTCTTCTTCTGTTACACGAAAGTGCTTATAGCGCCCTCCCTTTAGGACTGTTGTGTGATTGAATGGACAGGGTGGCCAGTTGCTTTGGTTTGAGCACAGAGAGAGCCCCCCATCCCAGAAAATCCTCCCTTTCTCCACCACTGGGATGGTTGGTCATCCTACCACTAGGCCGGGCATGTAGGGAGCACCCACATATTCACTGCTGCGGTGGTGACATCTACAGACCTCTGCTGGGTACACGTGGTCATCCACCGTGTGCTCCGAGCCCCACTCATTCGCTGCTCCCCAGTGGAAGTGGAACTGCTTCAGCCGGTAGTGGTTTTCCAAGGGGCCACCACTAATTCCTGAAAAATGTAACCAGTGGAACTTGTGTTAGATTGCCTGTTCGGTGGGCTGTGGTATCGCTGTGACACTGTGTACACTGAAATCATATGATTTCACTCCCGACTGATGTCCTGCTGAAATGACAAACTGGAAGGTGGGCGTCTTGTTCCAGTCACCAGCCCTTAGGTGCTTACAATAAATGCCTGAGAGAATGCTGATTCCAGTGCTGCCACCAGGTGGCGGTAGAGGCTTCAACCCCTGCCTGCTGCAATAAGGCAAAGAAAAACCATTTGTGAGATGCATGCGCGTCCTGTAAGATCCAGACTTCCTTAATTTAAAAAATGCTTCTTGAATAAAAAAAGGGGCTTAAATTCTATCACCAAATAATTTCATAAACTAGTATGTAAAGAGCAAGTTTTAAAACAAACAAATTTTGAGCTACAACATACTACCTTTTCCACCATATCTGGTCTCTGTGCAGTCTAGCTCAGTCTAATACCCTCTATGACCAGTTTATATGGGAACACTCCTTTCTAAGTCACTCTAACCCCCTGGAGTAGCCTCCCCAAGAGCTGTTAGCCTGAGGCACACGAGCTCGGAGAGCACCTTTGTGGCAGAATCTGGCTCTCAGCTGCAGAACTGTGGGCGCCCTCCAGAGGTTCAGGGTCAGGGAAGGGACTCTGTATTTTAATGACCTCCTGGGTGGCTCTGTAGCACTTTGCTACTAGATTTGCATGGACAGCTGCTATAGATACAGTGGTCACTATCAGGTACCTTGCTTTTCATTGGAGTGAGCTTGTGCTACTGGCTGGCTGGGACAAGTCTGGGAAACACAGCAGCACCATGGAGTGAGTTCCCGGGGTCCCTGTGTGCGTCAGCTCCTCTGTGTGTCAAATATGACGGGCCAGTGGTATTTTCTGTTTGGTTGTTACCATAGAAAGTATTTGTGGCAGGAAACACTGGACTATGACTCATGACTCTGCTCATGACTCTGCTCTTGATCAAGTTGTAAAGCTTCCCGCCATCTTTCTTGACTCGAAATAAGGGTGTTGGTGAGAAGGTCATTAGGCTCTCATCTGGTCATAAAATTCTGTGTTTTCATGAGATAATCTTCTATTCCCCTTAACACATACACAGATATGAATTATGTCTTAATTGTTTAAAATATGTAGAAATATTGCTTTCCATACTAGGTATATAAAAACGTTTTAACTCATAAACTCTGAATCTGTTGCTGGCTAAGAGCGCTGTGAGCACAAAGGAAGAAAACCTCTCAGGTGGGTTCAAACTGCAAGACTAATGGAGATGTTCTGTGGTTAGAAATACAAGAGTGGTGTTTGGGATTTTTGCCTTTGAGGGGTGAGGATACTTGAGCAGATCGGCCTTTGTAGTTTTGTGTTGTGTTTTACTTTATGATGAGAAGTTAAATAGGTTGCCAGTAATCCCTGAGGTGTAACGATTGGAGGCAGGACTCGAACCCATGTCTAACACCAAACGTGCCCCTTTCCACTTACCCTTCGAAGTACAAAAGTAATCTAAGGAGTTATGGGACCATGAAACACAGGCAGTGGCACTTCTGCCTGGCACCTTGTATCAGTGGTGGAGAATGAGTTTGCAGCACTGGGCAGCCAGAGGCCACGTGCCACCAAAACGCATCACTTTGTGACCAAGAGCCTGTTGTCTGACCAACTGCCCTCCAGGAGATACCCTGGGCTCTGAGACACTGAGACTGGCAACATGCTCGCGCACACAGAAGGTAACCCTGTGGGTACTAATGCACATCTGTGTCATCTTGTCCAGAACTCAAGTGTGAGAAGGCAGGAGTGATGGGTGTTTCATCTAAGTCATTGAATTGGACACAAACTGGTGGACATAATTTATAAGGCTCTGAGTGAAATACCACTCAGTCAAATTCCCAGGACAGGGACCATTTTTGCCTTGTTCATCTCTGTATTCTCAGCACTTAATCCGGGACACACCCACTCGGGGCACCCAGCGGATGAGTGAGTGGGATTATTCAGTCACTGATCAGCTCATTCATTCAGTCAGTAAGCCGATCTGTGTATCACAGCAGAATTCATCTTTCCTACAGTACCTTGGAACTGCCTGGGGTTTCTAGGGAATTCCACAGAATGCTATAATTATTTAAAGACCTGGATTTGCAGTTTAGCTCTAACTGGCTGTGTCACATTGAACAAGTTGCTTAGTCTCTCTGAGCCTCAGCCTCCCCACCTGCAAAATGAGGAGCATTGGCAGGATACATGGAAATAATGGCGGGGAAATCACTTTGTAAAGTGCTATTAGATGATGACAATGATAATGATGCTGGTCACTGAATGTCACATAACCTTTCAGGGACTCAGCTCCTTCATCTATTAAAAAAAAAAAAAAAGAATGGGTACCTAAATGATTTTAGTGGTTCCTTCCAGCTCAAGCATCTTAGAGTTCTATGTAGGCACCTATGTCTCCAAAAAGAATGATACGAACTGCATGAGGCGTGTACTCGCCCCCAGATGAATGCCTGCCAGATCCCCACCAAAAATAACCTTCAGAAAATCACTTCCCACTGTTGCCAACAACAGAGTCAGACCCAGAGACTGCAGGGATGGGCGGGGACTTGGGAGCACAGAGCCTGGCTTCTTCCTCTGGCAGGTAAAGAGATGCAGAGGTCAGAGGCTTTCCCAAGTTCACCCTCCAAGTAGGCCTGGAGCCCATGGGCCACAGCTCCACGCTCTCCCCTACCAACATCAAACTGCCCCCAGAATTCTTTATTGAAGAATCCTCTTACTAGTCAGACTCCCCGCCTGTCTGCTGCTGGAAGACCCAGTAGCCTGAATATAAATGGAAGTCTGTTCTTTGAAACCCTGGGACTCTCCCACCGCAGGAAGAATGTTCCTTTTCAGTGGGGCCTCCAGAATATACATTTCCTTCTCACGTTCAAACTGACATCTGGTCGTTTGTATGGGAACCAGGGACTTGCTGGAAACCTGGGCTGAGACCAAGCAAACATAACAAAACCCCCAGAAGCCTGCTGCCCCTTACTAGCTTTATAACATATAAACGCAAGTAGGACACAAGCAAAACAGAAGCTTTTCTGGAAGGACTCGCGAGGAGGAAGGTGGTGTAGGGCAGGTGGGCAGAGGATGAGCTACGTGAGCTGGGTTGGAGCGCCCCCCTGTGGCCGATCGGTGGAGACACTCCGGGATTGGCCATTCTAGTCTATGTTGCCTCACTCCTACAAGAGCACATCAAAAAGTATGATAAATTCAAGAACGCCAGCAGATATAGACTACAGAGAAGAAGCTATAATTGTAATAATATCCCTTAAATTAGACCTGACCCGCAATGACGACCCATTAGCAAAGTGCCCATGTATTTGTTTAAAAACTGGGAAATTGTGCTGTGTTGCCCTTTCTGGAGGGGGTCAGGAGCAGGGTCTCGGTCAGATTCTGGCACTATCTCTTCAAAACTGAGTGATCTTGTTCCAGTTACTGAATTGCTCCCAGCCTCAATTTCCCCACCTGTAAAATGGGGGTGATCCTAGTTTGGTTCAGAGGGGCATTGCAAGAATTAAGTGATGTGGTACATACAAAGTTCTTAGTATGATGGCAGGCAATTTGGAAGCACTCAAAGAACAAAACCAAGCATCCACTGGCATGTCTCTGTGTGGGATGCAATAACCGATTAAAGAAGCAAGGCTCTCACTGGTTAGCATCTCCTGGGTTCCGGATGCTGTGCGCCAATGTCCACCAGTTTGTGTGACTCTCGGTGCCTGATGGCCAGCTGGCACCTGCTGTAAGTGCTGCTACCTAACCAGCCAGCATTCACTGAGAACCTGCTATGTGCTGGGCAATGCACACGGTGCTTTAGGACCCCCGGGGAACACGGAACCTCCTTGCGGCAGGTACTATTTGCTCATTTTTGAGATGAGGAAATGGGGCTCAGGAGTCAAGTCACGTGCCTCAGGTCACCCGGTAACCCCAACCCAGGCCTGCTTGAAGGTTCAGTACATCGGCTCACATGGCAGGGTTCAAGCAAACTCTGCAGTTTTTCTTGGAAAGTTAGGAACCCAATTTAAGGTTGCAGCCCTCAATTTAGGCAATCCCAAAGTGACTTTTTGTAATGATAACAGTGTCAAAAAAAATTCCTTTCATAAAACAATTTAGTTTTTAAAAGATTTTATGTATTTATTTTTAGAGAGGGGGAAGGGAGGGAGAAAGAGAGAGAGAAACATCAATGTGTGGTTGCCTTCACATGGCCCCCACTGGGGACCTGGCCCAAAAACCCAGGCACATGTCCTTACTGGGAATAGAACTGGTGACCCTTTGGTTTGCAGCGTACGCTCAATCCACTGAGATACACCAGCCAGACTTCATAAAGCAATTTAAAAAGACAAGCCCACTACGTGGGAAGAGGGCCTTTAACTTGCCGGCCCCAGCCCCCAGACTCTGCTGTCCGCAGGGCCTGTCCTCAGAGAGGAGGCCGTGCACCGCCCCAGAGTTCTCCTTGAGCAGGCTCAGACCCCACTGAGAGGTCACCGGGAACTTTGTCAGTGTGCCAGACCCTGCAAACACCCTGAGAACCGAAGGCATTGCAGGGCGACTCCCCGCTGTGGTGCTCTGGCCCCAGATACTGCTGTCTCTGTGCTTCCAGCGGTGGCCATCAATGGCCACCTATTTGTAGTCCGTTTACCAGGATAAGCAGGCTTTTGGCAGGCACGGCTGTCTTAACGTTTAAAGTAAGTGTTAGAGATGTTTGAGATGTTCGAATTAGTCAAAACTGCAACATACATGACTTCTTCGCCCAGGAGGAGCCTGATCTTGGTGCCACTCTGGGATTTAGGAAATGTTCCAAAGCTGTCGAGCTCAAGGGCAAAGGGTTTCTGTGTGTTCTCCAAACCAGGAGGCTCTGTAATGCCCTCCAGGCAGTGAGAGCCTGGCAGGTGCCAGCACATTTCAGTGTGTGGGGGGCACAACCCCACCCTGGGACCCTGGGATGAGGGAGGCCAGATCGCTGCCCC